TGGTGTTCGTCAACTATGTTTTATTCTTGCTCTTTGAAGGAGCTTTTTTGGACGCTCCCCCAAGTCACCCTTCCATCCCATGAAAATCTTAATATTGTAGACATGCTGTATATGTTTGTGTCCTATATGTATATCTGTGCTTGTTACATAAAGGAGTTTGTTTTGACTTTTATGAAGCAATTTCCAATTCTTCTCCTTGGGGGGCAGGTGATAGCTCCCCTGCTGTGAATGGTCTAGTGGGAGCTAGAGAAGAGCAAATAGCTAAATGCCAATACAGATGTACTAGATTTCCTCTCCTCCACTCTGATTCTCTTACCCCCATACTTTACACATACTTCTAGAATCATGTTATCATATCTTTTTGATTATTTGTTTAGCCATTTCTCCTTTTTATGGCTGAGTAGTACTCCATTGTGTATATATACAACATTTTCTCATACGTTCAGCTTTTAATGGTCTATAGGTAGCTTTCAAGATTTAGCTATTATGAATTGTGCTGCTATAAACATAGGTATGAATATATCACTGTAATATGATGACTTTTGGGAAGATACTCTAAAGAGGTATAGCTGGATCAAATAGATTTCTATATTTAGTTTCCTTTTACTTTTTTATTAGTATATGTTTGGTACTCACAATGAATGCATTCATTGCAGGTACTTAATACATGTACATGACACATCTTCAAAAGATGTCTACCCAAAACTTGGGCAGGTAACTTATTTGGAAAAAAGAGTATTGCAGATGTGATTAAGGATAATCATCCAGGATATCATCCTGGATTATTTGAATAGGTCATAAATCTAGTGAACAACTGTCCCTATGGAAAAAAAAAACAATTGGAGGTTTGAGACAGACAGAGGAGAAGGCCATGCAAAGATGGAGGTAGAGACTGAGGTGATTACTGCCAGACAAGTAATGCCAAGAAACACCAACAGCCACCAAATCTGGAAGAGATTCTCCCCTAGGGCCTCCATAAGGATCATGGCCTGACCCCAAGGTTGATTGTGGACCTCCAGCCTCCAGAACAATGTACAATAAATTTCTGTTGTTTTAAACCACCAAGTTATAATGGCAGACTCAGAAAATAAGTGTATTGTCATTCTCCTCTGCTCTACCCTGGATTTTTAAAGGTACAGCATTGTTATGGTTTGGGTCTAGATGTCCCCCGCAAAGACTCATGTGGTCATAGGCTTGATCTAGAGTGTGTGAAGCTGAAAGTGATTCATGATGCAATGCTAGGCTCAAAGGCACTAGGATTAAGGGTGTGAGTGCTACTCGTCCTAAATAGTCTGAATAAAATAAAAGGGGCAGGGAGATGCTGTTAACTCTCTTGTTACCTTTGCTGCCTTGTGTGTACCATGTTATTTCTGCTCTGCCATGCCTGTTTGTCATCCCTGCCTTGGAGTTGGCTGATTATGGACTGATACCTCTATGAACTGCAAGCCAAATAAACCCCTTCCCCTCTAACTTTGGGTGTCTGGTATTTAGTCTCAGCAACATGAGAAAGATAACTAACACAAGCATTTTATTTATGCATTCCCAGTGCACAGGCTAAGTACTGGTATATAATAGATACTCAGTGTACATTTGCATGGTAGCAGCAACAAGTAGGGAACAACTACGAGCTTGCTGGCTCCTTTGCTTGATGGAACCAAGCTTGGAAGTATTTGAGGACTGAGGCCATGTACACCATCACTTCTTCTCACACTTTCCAACAGTCTTCTCTTGGGCCAACTAAACTGTCAAGTATATGTGGACAAATAAGCATTATAGAATGCTAAAATATATCTACAAAATATATCTACAGTATATCTACAAACTGGATAGCATTATATTGACTCTTCTTAGCCCTCTTTTCCTCCTCATTAAATAACTTGTCGTATGCATCTCTCCATGTTAATATATGTAGCTACACATCATCATTTTAATAGCTACCTGGTTTCCATTGTGTGGATTACTATAATTTATTTAACCAATCTCCTATTGATGGATGCTAATGTTCCTCTTAAAGTGCAATAGCCATTTTGACATATGATATTATAAATCTGGCCTCATCAATACAGTAAGACTATTATTGTTTTTGACTTGAACAATACACTTATTTTAATTTGGCTGATGTTTTTGTTAGCTTTGTGAAGTAGTTGCTACTTTCTGGATAGCAGATTGCTATTTTATTTTGACTATGATTAACTAAAACTCCTTCATCTTTTCACTGAACATCTATAAAATGGGAGTGCTCCTAACTTGTATTTGAAGAGTAGCTTATGTATATTCTTTAAAAAATTCATGTGGGACTTTTGTATAACTGTCATCAGAACTTAGGGAAGGTTTTGTTTTTCCTTTTAAGTTTGACTCTATCTCATAAGAATTTCTTTCTATGTTGGTATTTTTTTCTTTAAACCTTTAAGATTATACAGTTACCCCTGTTTTTTATTGGGAAAATTGATTTTTTTCCCCATCATTTCAATTATCTGAAATAATTCTGTGACTAAACTTTTAACTCCATCATATCAGTCACTCACACCCAATGGGGAGGTATTTTATGTTTCCTTCAGTGTTAAACATTGCAGTGCTGACTAGGAGAAGGTAAGAGATAATCTTTAGCTCTTACTCAAGATATCACCTCCTGCATGATACTAAGCTCCTACTGGTTGTCTTGTCTTCATCTCCCACACAACCTCTATCTCATAGCGTTGGCTTTCATTTTGACCATTTGAGAAAGGGCTTACACCTTCCTTTGTCTCTCATTCCCTGTCATACTTAATACAGTGCCTGTTGTGAAAAATAAAAGTTGCCCAATAACCATTTGTTGCTATATACTGAATTGCCCCCAATAATATGACGTGTACATGGTAGATAACATAACCCCTTGCCAATCGTCACTTTCTCTTGCCTGTGCTCATTGGTAATCTATTCAGTGATTCACTCTGGAAGACACAGGGATAGATTCCAAGCTCACTAGATTATGTCTACCTTTAACCCTTTCCTGGAAGTCAGAAGTGAGCCTGGGAAAGTTTTGTACAGGATGTGGGGCTGTGAGTAGACATTGATGGACAGGTATGATGTGGAGAGGGAAGTGGAAACCATTTGGGAGCCAGAGGTTGGGAGACAGAATTGTTCACAGACACAGAGAATAGTTTTGTGTTGGTAAAATCTCAGCTAGGAAAGCACAGGACAACCATGAGAAAGGAAAATGGTGATATAAGCAGAGAGTGTCTTGCTTTCCTCTGTTCTCTGCCGTCAGTGACACCAATGCTTAAGTGTAAAACCTCAAGTACATAAACATATTTGTCACCACCATTCTTGTGTCCTATTTGCTGCCTTGATGTGGCAGTATATTTGAGCACAGTATGAAGGATAGGCAGAGTGAGGAGGAAGCACCAGTGTACAGAAGCCCCTTTTTATCCTGAGCTGGAAATAGCTAAGAAGGTAACTGTAACCCATTCATTCAGACAATATATTCAGCAAAATAAGCACAAGGACAAGGTCTGAACTACTGATCAGAAAAAAAGAAAGGGGATTTGTAGGTTTTGATAGTTAACTAATTGTGTCAACTTGAGTAAGAAATGCCCTACTGTATTGGATCAACAACCCTAGGAAGGCTTGTTGTCTGAATGGTATAAAAAGGAAATGAAGAAGGAAGGCTCATTTCTGTTTCTTCAGAGGAGCTCCAGACTTCACCTTCACCTTGTCATCATCTCCTGGCTTCCAGGACAGACCCTTCAGCCTACCATTTCAGACCCTTTGATCTCTTGATACAGATGCATACGGGACACGACAGTGAGCTCCGGGCTTTCAACTGGATCCTTTGGATCTCCAGTGCAGTCAGCCCTTTTGCACGCCTTCACACCTGACTCTGTGGGGAGCCATTGTAGGCCAACCTTGTAAATTGTTATATATGGTATTTCTATATCTTGCATTAAATCTGTTTCTCTAGTAAGCACTGACTGATACATAGGTGTTCAGTAAATAAAATTAAATTAGCAAATGCTTGCCTCTGAAATGTTCATTGTGAAGGCAACATTGTGATTGTAGAGTTGAAATACATGGTGACAAGATTTCTTTTTCTTCTTGTATTTTTGGTACCCAGGATCAAACTCAGGACCTTACACTTGTGAGGCAGGCAAGATGCCACTGAGCTAAATCCCCGGCCCTGCACGATTTCTTGAGCTTCAAGCTTTTATAAAGTTGTAAGGTGTGAAAAGGAGCTCTTTGTTTGTGTGAATGCCACCCTGCCTATACGTGTGACCCCTCCCTCTGTCCCACCTCCCTGCTGGACCTTTGAAGCCTTAACAGTCACAGGTTATAGAAGAAACAAAACCATATCTGAGTTTCAGTGGTTACTTTTGAGATCCTACTGAGCTACTGATGTCCCTTGTGCTATCACAAATTAGTTGTGTCTGTGGAAGCCACATGGTCTGAGATGAGCCAATTTGATCTTAATTCATCCTTTAGGGCACTGTAGGTGAGGCTTGCAAAGAAGATGGTTCTGTGTTCACTGCAGAAGTTCAGCCTAGTGTGAACCAGGCACAAGATTTCAGGGCACAAGTCAGCAACAGGCTGTCTCAGTTCTGGCAGATGGTGACACGGCTCCGGGGGGAGGGGCTAGGTTGTCTGATAGAAGTGATATGACCCAAACATCATGATGGAGCCCGTAGAGTGCCCGGTGATGACAGGGGCTAGACCAGCATGGTGGCCCAAGCAGAAGCCAATCCTATTATCTTCAAGCTCAGGTTAGATCCAGACCCCACATCACCAGAAGGGGGCACTGGAGGGTGAATGGCACAGGTTGAGGTCCCAGAGGCAGATTCTGAGATACAACTCAGCATTTGGGAATGCTCTTGTGATCAATGCTTGTGGAAAGAAGTAATGGAAAGCCTGACTAAGTAGAGGGAGATGTTTGCTGAGATGCTGTCTTAGTCTGGTTTGCTATAACAAAATACCATCAACTAGGTGGTTCACAAACAATAGACATTTATTTCTCATAGAATCTGGGAAGTCCAAGATAAGGTGTTAGGAGATTAGGTGTCTGGTGAGATCCTGATTTCTGGATCATAAATGTTGCCTTCTCACTGTGTCTTCACATGGTTGAAGGGATCAGCCAGGTTTCTTCTGTCTCTTCCATAAAGGCACTAATGCCAGTTATGAGGGCTCCATCCTCTCTTGATCTAATTTCTTCCCAAAGGCCACATCCCCTAAAATTATCACATTAAGGATTAAGATTTCAACATTTGAGTTTTTGGGGAACACAAACATTTAGACCATAGCGCTGAGACACCCCCCCCCCAAAAAAAAACCTCATGGGGAAGCAAGAAAAACCTTCCCTAAATTGTCCTGAGTTTGGGGAATGAGGTATGCAGGCTTTCTTCTCCTCACATTGATCAGTCTTTGGACCCAAGCTATGGCTAAAAAGCGGCATGATTTGGGGCCAGGCACATTTTTCCAAAAGAAGCAATTCTCAAAGATGGCCAAGAGCCGAGGGCTATCTGCTGGCTATGCTCCCAGAAAGACTGACTCCTTCTATTCTGAAGAGAGGTCTGGGGAGTCCATGCCAATATTCACCCTAAGCTGCATCCTGGGGAACGTGAGGGCTTAGTGGCGGTGAATGAGAGGAGTGGAACATTAGAAGCTGAGTCGATATAAAAGGGAAGAAATAATATAGTAAGACGCATGGGATTGGCCTTGATGGTAGGAAAGAATGAGAGGAACTGGCCAAGACTATTTGCTTCCTCTTCCCCTCTTACAAACCAGTTGCTCTGAACCCTGTGGTGGGGTGGGAGTGAGGGAAAGGCAGAGGTGGCTGAGTCCACATAGGTGAGGAGGATCCGTGAACCCAGCTGTGAGAAGCTGCAGAAGATGGCCATGGGGCAAGAAAGAACCTTGTGGGTGTCTGGAATGTCTCCCTGTTCATGGCAGCAAATTTTGAACATCATGGACCTGGGCCTTATAACACCACAAGAATGTTCAAACAGCCAAATCTACTCTTACGTGCAAACATGCAGTTTTAATTTTAAGAAATATTTCTCAAGGCACTGATGCAATTTCATCCTTTAGATTTAAATTAATGTTCGTGTGTGTGTGTGTGTGTGTGTGTGTGTGTGTGTGAGAGAGAGAGAGAGGGAGGGAGGGAGGGAGGGAAGGAGAGAGGGAGTTTTAGTGTGTAGCTTCAGCCATTTTGGGTTGTATGACTAGAACAGGAAATTTCATTATTTTTGGAGGGACCCTGTACCCTGCCCCTATGCAGCTCAAAGTGGTCTTTGATTTAATACCATTTAGAAGGCAGGAAGGAGGGAAATGTTTAGACCGAGGCCAAGAATAGAAAATTCTTTTACCAAAAAAACCTTTCCCCTTAAAAAATGAAGTGAGTAAGCACTGGGGAACTCACATTCGAGCATGTTTCGATGTCAGCATTTAATATGTCACAACATTTGGGTCATCTTGGCAAATTATGAGGTTTTTCTAATTCCTAGAGTATCATTAAACAGCTGTTGTTTCTTTTCTAAATAATACTAACGCTACCCTTCTCCCTGTCCAGGATTGCCTAAGTTACAATAGCTTGAAATTTCAATGCAATAGCTTCATTTCACTTTGGAATCCTTTCCCAGATTATGTACATCCACTTTGCATGTGGGGTATGACTTCGCATGAAATGGCCAGGCGTCTGTTGTTCGTGAAGAGACTCAGCTGTAGTGGCATATGGACAACACACTTTTAAAATGGGGTTATTTCATAATTGCATCAACTCTGTCCAAGAAAACACATTCAAATTCCCCATAATTCAACCCATTTGTTACCAGATCCCTCCATCCTGAGCTGGGGAGAACTGGGATCTGTGAAAGATTGCTGTGTTCCAAGCCATCCACCTGGTTTGAAGTTCATCATGGACCCAACGCTCTGGCTAGGGAAGCCAGGGGAAGAGGGGGCTTCCATGTGGGGCAGGGAAATACTGCCCTGGATTGGGGATGGGTTGTCTGGTGTGCCGAGATTCCATGTGTTATTCACTCTAACCCTCTCAATGATCAGTCCAGAGGTTTGGTGTGCAAAACATCACCAGTTACCCACACAGCTTCTTATTCTGCAGGGGTGGAGTAGGGCACAGCAGTAGGTGAGGCTCAGGAACGGAAAAACAATGAGTCTGCAACTCCTCACCACACATTGGTATCCCCAAACAAGTCATGTCACTTCTTTGGGCACCAGCTTGCTTGTTTATGAAATGATGATAAGCACATACACCCTCCTTGAAGGGTGGTGGTGAAAATTAGAGGCAATAAAGTTGGCCCTCTGTCTTCACAGGTTCTGAACCTCCTGATTCAACCAACAATGGATCAAAATATTTGGGAAAAATCGCATATGTCCTGAACATGTACAGACATTTTGTTGTCATATTCTCTCAACAATTCAGTATAACAACCATTTTTTGTAACATTTGCATTGTGTTGGGTATTATAAGTAATCTAAAGATGAGTTTAAGTATAGGAGAGGATGTCATAGACTAGTACTGTATTATTTATATCAGGCACTTCAACATATTAGGATTTTGGTATCCAAGGGAGTCCTGGAACCAATCTTCCTTGGATATCAAGGGATGACTGTATATCTAAAATGCCAGCATTTTACTTGGTCCATAATGAGCACTCAGTACTGTAAGCTACCATTATTGTTAGCTATTACTAAATAAGGTCTATGAAAGGGTCTTTCTGTATAATCTAAATTCCCATCATGCTTGTATTTTGCCTGATCTGGCAGCAAGATGGCTTGCTGACACCATCCATCTTTCCATTCACAAGTCACGTGAAATATATGGCTTTTTTTCTTAAAGAGTTCCCAAAGGTCTGCTGCATTTCCTGGCAATCAGACAGCAATTCAAGCAGATCCAGGTAAAGAACAAGGTTGTGCCAACAGCCATATTCCTTGCATAGAACACTCCCACTGGGCCATGTGCTCAGTAGCCATACATGACAGCCTCTTGGGCCTGGCTTCCCAGGCAGCTGCATAAATTGCTTCAAACATGAGGGTTTTTTATGGCATAGCCAAACTGACTTTGGCCTAGCTTTTGTTCTCATTTCTTTCGTTTTTTTTTTTTTTTTTTTGGTACCGGGGATTGAACTCTGGTCCTTGCGCTTGCGCAGCAAGCAGCGAAACCCCTGGCCCCGTTGTTCTCATTTCTTAAGTGATAGTATTAATGCTGGGGAGAGACATTTGGCATAGAAAAGTGAATTCGACTGACAAACATGGCCAGATGCAGATTGGACCCTGTCAGCTAATCATCTGCTCCACAATCCCAAGCTTCAGGGTGGCAGTAACCACCCTAAAGGGAAGACTATCCACTGCTCACCAGCATCAATTGGTCAAAGATGAATGGTTTTTCTGTAATTCTGGTGTTTTGAGAGCTCTCAGCAAGGTATTTGGACAGTGGTTATAATCTTAGAAGGTTAAAAGGAAATATAGTAAAAGAGTACCTATGACTATTTGCAATGTTTGACTCCTTGTTTACTTTTCTTTTGAAGAATCTTAGAGAGCTAAAACCCACTTTCAATCTCAGCTTTCGTGAATTTGCAAGTCAAATTAGCAATATATTGTAACCCACAGTTAAACTGTAATAGATTTTCCCAATTTTCTGACCCAAATTCTTCCCATCTCCCTTCAATCCAGTGTCCCTTAGCAGTCAGAAAAGGCAAAGAAAGGATGTAAGCTTTGGTACTGATTTGATTTGGAGAGAAGTAGCCAATAGGAGAGGTAGGAACTCTTACAGCTTTATCGTTTTGCTTTTTCTTAGAGTCCCTATACCCTATGAGCCAAGCAAGAAAGTGGGTACACAATCAGCCCAGTGGGATTTATTTTTTAAAGCAAAGTTAGTGTGAATGGTTATCTGTTTAATCAGGAACTTCAGCTCCAGTGATAGAAGGACACCAGGAGATGACATACAACAGGGGTTGTGACCATAGTGACTGTTCCTTTTTTACTTTGATTCTTGTGTTTTTATCTTCTTCATTCAATGTCTTATACTTGTTCACTTATCTGCCCTACAAGAACCCTGTGCTAGACACTTGCGAGCTTGCTATGAACCTTGTTCCCTGTGAGGCAGTTCTGGGGAAAAGGTGGGAGGTGCTGACCAGGAAAACATCAGGTCTCATTTTTATTTACAGATAAATTATTTAATCAAATGATTGTTTTTAATACTAATTAAGGCCTTTTAGGCCACAGGCTGGGTATAACACTGAGGCAATTAGAGAGGAACATGAACACCCTGAAATTCCCCACGGATAAGGGCATTTAACCAACACTGACAGGATGCAGCATAAAGTGCTTGCTTTTGTCTTTCAGAGTCAAAATGGGAAAGGTTACCAAAGAGAGTATACTAAGATGTCTATGCCCAGGTTCATATCCATATGTATATCTGTATTTTTAAAGCTGGCTCATGTCCATTCATCTGACAACTTCCCAATACCCCATTGCATGGTATATCTGAGAGGAAAGACCATGTGAGCAGGTGCTGCTGTTCAGTGCACAGAGCACATTTCTTCTCCTGATTTATAATCCTTCAAGTTTCTTTTGGGAAAGCTCTCTGCCTCCATTTTTATCATGGTGTGGATGGAATTTTATCCTCCTTAAAATTTTATGGGAGAGTCCTAATTGGCTTAAGCCAATCACTGTGCAGTGTCCATTGCCTCTAGCTACTGTGATCTGTTCAGGGACAGGGTCTTCGTCCAGTAGTAGTCATTGAGATGAGAAAAAAAAATTTGCTAAGATTTCTGGAGAAGAGAAATTTGTCTTTTCCCTCAATGGAATCTACAAGATTGCATGGTATGGTGGTGTAAGGATGGCAAATAGACATTCACTTTGTGATTCCAGCAAGAGCCCTAAGCTTCAAAGGTGAGGCCAGGGGAGGAGGGCTCTATGAAGAGCTTAAGGATGAAGGCAAACTACAGAAGGAAGAGCAGAGAAATGGAGAAAGCCAGATCATTGGTGACACTGAGCTGATCAGTCAAGCCTTACCTGAAATAAATATTATCTGTAGACTTTCCAATCATGTGAGCCAATTCATTCCCTTTTTATTGCTTGAGCCAGTTTGAGCTGGGCTTTTTAATCACTATTTGTACAATGTGCCAATGTATCTTACAACTTTCCACCATATAGTTTTATTTGTGTGTGTGTGTGTGTGTGTGTGTGTGTGTGTGCCAGTGGGAGTTGAATC